CCTGTGCCTCCCCTCAGGTCCCCTCCCCTATGAACATCAGCAGACTCTGCTAAATGCCAATCGGGGGATCCAGTGGTCTATCTCTAGGTGGTGGGCGCCAAGCATGCCCAGGAAGGTACATGAGGCCAATGGGGATTGAACCCACGACCTCCTGAATGCCACTTGCGAGCCTTACCAACTGAGTTAGGCCGCTGGATACCATTCATCTTCTACTTACTTAGTGACCTCGTGATGATGCTAAATTCTCCCGATTAAAATTTCGTGAAATTATGGAAGTTATGTTTATATGTTTAAACTTGCTTAAACTTTATTCATTTTTATTTGTGCAAATTTAAATATTCTTGAATTAAATATTTAACTTTTGCGAAATTAATTATTGCAAATTTAAATATTATTTAATTAAATATTTAATCTTTTGCCAAAATTAAATTTTATTAAATTCGTGTTTTCCGATTAAAATTTATTTAATTTCTCAAACTTCGAAATTTTCGTAAGGGGGGGGGGGGGGGGGGGTTCCCTTTGATTAGTGTCAAATTTCAAGGTCAAGGGAGAAAGGGACTGTCTGTGCATTGTTTGCCTCTCTGCCCTTCCTCCACACCCTACCTTCTCTCTCCTCCTCTCGGTACCACGGACGTCAGTCTCCGGCCACGTCAGCATTCTGCCACATCAGCAGCGGGCCACGAACGCAGATTGCCACATCAGCCACGTGCCACCTCAGCGTGCCACGACAGCCGAGTGCCCAGCCAGCAGCGGCCACCTCAGCAGTGCCACATCAGCACGTGTCACCTCAGCGGTGACACGTCAGCAGCAGATGAAGGCCAGAGTACTTGATGTGCCGCAGTCAACGACTTGCTGAGTGCGGATCCGCAGGAACCAAGCCCCAAGAGGGACCTAAGACACCTCGGATCCCGCGCAGGCGACGCACGACCATGGCTGTTACCGCCGACGTCAATGCACAAGCCAGCCCCAAGAGGCCGGTTACCCCTCCTATTCCTGTTCAGCAGGCCAATGAACCGCTTCTCGCGTTCCTCAAACGTCTCCAATCCTACTCGGAGACCACGGCAGCTGAACTGAGCAAGTGGGAAGAGGAGGAAGCCGCCCTCAACGCCAGCTGACAGAGGCAGAGGCAGCACGTCAGCAGGCCGCAGCAGAAGCTGCAGCAGCCGCACGGTTGCAGCAGCAGCAGGTCGAGGCTAGTCAGAACCAAGTTCGTTATCAAGCGACAATGGAGCTCGCCAACGAAGAAACCACGTATCGGAGGATACTCCGACAACAGCACTTTCGAGCGAACGAAGAACAAGTCTTAGAGGAGCCAACCGAAGAAGAGAGAGACAAGGAGGGCATAGCAGTTCTGATGGAGAATCTGCTGTACACTTGCAATTGGCAGCAACGTGAACTGTTGGCCATGCGGCAGGTCTTCATCCGCCACGAAACGACGTTTAAGGCATTGGCCACGAAGATCGCTACCATGCAGGCCGAGATCAGCACACTACACACCGCCAACAGCCAGCAGCAGACACTCAACGACCAGCTGCAGACCGATGTCAGCATGGGGTTGGCACAACTGTCAGCAGCTGCGTCGACGGGCAGCGCAGTGGCAGACTGCAGCCCAGCCTTGGCCGTGCAGGCCAAGCAACTCGAGGAGCGGATCAACCACGTGGTCGCGTCCCTCAGCGACATCAGCAAATTCGCAAGAGCGTCGACAGTCAGCAACCAACTGCAGACGCTCAGCGACCGTGTTCAGCAACGACCGGCCGTTGTCGCCAAGGAATGGAAAATGCCGAACTTCAAGATCGAGAAGTTCGATGACTATCACAAGACCGATCCGCTGAAATGGTGGATGGCATTCAACGCAGAGGCGGACGTGCATCACACTCCACCACTGCGGTGGCTTGATGCACTCTACCTCCAACTCATTGGAGGGGCGCAGGCCTTCATGACGCACATGGCAGTAACATTGGAATGTACCATCGCCACCCTCCACACCAAGATCATGTGGGAGGAATTAGAGAAGAAGTGGAAGACCCGGTTCATGGTCAACAACGACAAGCATCACGCCTTGAACAAGATCTTCCGCATGTTCCAAGGCCAGCAACCTTCACGGGAATGGCTGACGGAGTGGCAGAAACTCGGCGCCACCCCGGAGTTGAGCTTCCCATTTGACGCAATGCGGGCCGAATTTTTCGCTCGGTCATGCGATGCCTTGACAGCTGCGTTGGGCACCGAATTCCATTATGAGACCTTTGATGACATGATCTCAAAGGCAAGAGAACTAATCCAAGGTACCGACGTGCGGCCAATGAGGCCCGCCAACAGCCCGGTTATGTGGAGAAAGCCAAAGGTCAACGGACGCTGCAAGTAGCAGCAGTCCAGCAAGGAACAAGTGCGGACCACGCAGCTGCATTTACATCAAGTGACGAAGATGTGGCGGCAGCGATACCGCCGCAACGCTCAAGACCCCGAGGGGGAAAACAAAAGGCGAAACCAGCGTCGGCGGATGGAGCACGACAGTCACCATGGACGAAGTTCGGTATTACCGAAGACATGTTCAAGTTGAGACATAAATGGGGATGCTGTTTGTGGTGCAACAACACCAAACACGTCACAAGCGCCTGCCTCGACAAGGACAAGGAAAATGTCAAACGTCTGGGCTCGGAAAACTGAGCACCGCGGGAAGTGCAGCAACAGCACTTCCCAGTCCGCCGGAGTCGGCTGCCTTGCTAGCAGTCTCTCTCACATCCGGGGACACCGCGGTAGTCGCAAGTTCTTGCATTGAGTTTGAGAACTATGTTGTCGAGCTGGTCCCACCGTTAAACCAGCCTCTCCACGTGCAAGATTCAAGCGCATGCGCGGTAGTTTCGTCGTCGGACAACGAACCGGTTGCTTCGCCAGCCCTTCTATCGGAGGATCCGTCAACTTGGGGCGAGTCTTGAGGAACTCGACCCATTGACGGTTGAGGACTTCCAATGGTTGCCTCTTCCCTCCACCGGTTCTTTGCCAACACCGCATGGCACATCTGCGCGAATACTTGCACGCTGCAGTACCACCTCCATCGACGGACGGCGGAGTAGCGATTGTTGACCTTCGTAGCTATCTTGCGAAGATCGACCGCGAGTACGCAACGCAACGGTACGTCGACATCGACGCGCCGCTCCTCTACATCCGCATTCAGATCGCAAAGGCGACCTGCAGTGCCTTGATCGATTGTGGAGCGACTCGCAACTACATCCGCCAACACTTCATGGCACGCGTCGGGCTTGGCCCGCGCATTCAAAGGAAAAGTCAGCCTACGCACGTCACGTTGGCCGATGGTCACACGCAAAAGTCAATTGACCGATGCGTTGACTCGGTGCCCGTGTACTTTGCCCTGCTAGCATGTGAGGCCGTGTCATTCGACATATTGGACACTAAGTTCGATATGATCCTAGGCATGTCGTGGCTGCAAAGCGAAGACCATCTGGTGAACTTCTATCGACGCACCGTTCACGTCCGTGACTCGCGTGGCGAATTAGTCCCGTGTACGGTGCCGCTTCCTCATCCTTCGATTGGTTGTCACGTGGTCTCCACGGCGAGCATTCGCCAATCAATCCGGCGGAACGACATCGAGGAGATGGGCATATGTTTTCTTCACGCCCTCCCACCCGGGGATAAGCCCAAGATGGATACGTCAGACCCACGCATCATTGAGCTGTTGGACAGCTATGAGGATGTTTTCCAAGCTCCCGCCGGAGTAGTACCGGACCGGCCCATACGCCATGGGATCACTCTCGAGGACGACGCCGTACGTCTGCGCGGATGTATCTACCGCATGAGCGAAGAGGAGCTTCAAGTGCTTCGGGCACAACTTGACGACCTCTTGGCCAAGGGCTGGATTCACCCTAGCTATTCGCCATACGGTGCTCCCGTGCTCTTCGTCCAGAAGAAGAACAAGGACCTTCGTTTGTGCATCGACTATCGGAAACTTAACGCGCAAACGATTAAGAACGCCGGCCCTCTCCCTCGGATCGATGATCTTCTCGAGCGACTAGGCGGCGCCAAGTACTTCTCGAAGTTTGACCTCAAATCCGGCTACCACCAGATCGAGATCCAGCCAAGAGATAGGCACAAGACCGCGTTCAAGATGCGATATGGGCACTTTGAGTGGATCGTCATGCCTTTCGGTCTCACCAATGCCCCGGTTACTTTCCAAGCGGCTATGACGAGGGAATTCCGCGACTTGCTCGACCGCACCGTACTCATTCACCTTGATGATATCTTGGTTTATACCCGGACGCTGGACGAGCACCTCGAGCACCTTCGCGCCGTGTTGCAGCATCTCCGTATCGCCAAGTACAAAGCGAACCGCGACAAGTGCAAGTTTGCCCAGCAAGAGTTGGAGTACTTAGGCCATTACGTTACGCCGCAAGGCATTCGTCCGCTCGCGGACAAAGTACAAGCCATTCAAGATTGGTCGGACCTCAAGTGTACTACCGACGTCCGCTCCTTTCTTGGCTTAGCATCTTACTACATGCGCTTCGTCAAAGGGTTTCAACGAATCGCTGCACCATTGTCGCGACTTCAATCCCCCTTGATGCCCTTCGAATTCAACGACGAAGCCGGCATGCGTTTCATACGCTGAAGACGGCCTTGCTCCAAGCTCCCATCTTAAGCATCTATGACCCGACCTTGCCCACCAAAGTAACTACGGATGCTTCCGGTTACGACATTGGCGCGGTTTTGGAACAGCATGACGGTACAGACTGGCATCCGGTTGAGTACTTCCGCCAAAAGGTGTCGCCCATCAATACTCTTGATGATGCGAGGAAGAAGGAAGTCCTAGCTTTTATCACCGTACTTAAGCGTTGGCGTCACTTTCTCCTCAGGCGTCGGCGATTCACGTGGGCAATGGACAACAATCTGTTTACATATTACAAGACGCAAGACACGGTGAGCAACACGATCGGTCGATGGATGTACTTCATCGACCAGTTCGACTTCACCTCCAAGCACATTCTGGGATCCTCGAACAAGGCAGCGGATGCTCTCTCGCGAAGACCTGATCTTTGCGCCTAGGTGCACTCCACATTCGGCCTCGATGAGAACCTGCAACAACATTTCGTAAACGGCTACAAGTCGGATCCGGGATTCTCCACACTCTATGTGGACTTATCATCGGATCACTCGCCTGCAAGCAACCATCGCATTGTCAACGGCTACTTGCTTCTTCCTACGCGAGGCAAGGACTTGTTGTGTGTTCCCCAAGACCGCATCTTGCGCACTCGCCTCCTTGGCGAATACCACGATTCGCGGCTGGCGGGACACCTTGGCGTCGCACGCACACTAGCTCGACTCCACCAGCGATTTCACTGGCCAGACATCATCAGCGACGTCAACCGGTATATTCAGTCATGTGCAGTTTGCCACCAGAACAAAGGGCCCCATCAGCTCCTGTACGGCAAACTGAAACCATTGCCGATTCCTCGGGAACCGGGTCTCTCCATTGCTATGGATGTGACCGGCCCTTTCCCTCGGGATCGCCTTGGCCACGACGGTATTCTCACGGTCGTTGACCGTTTGAGCAAGTACGCTCGATTTCTTCCATGCAAGTATCATGCGACGGCTCCCGAGCTCGCAAAACTTTTGCATACCAGCTGGTTTCGCAGCCACGGCGTTCTGGAAGACATCGTCAGTGACCGCGACACTCGTTTCATGTCGGCCTTTTGGACGACACTCATGGTGGAATCCGGCACCAGCATGAAACCGAGTTCCACACGGCATCCTCAAACGGATGGGCAAACGGAACGTGCGCACCAGACTGCGCAGATGATGCTCCGCACACTCATCCGCCCGGATCAGAAGGACTGGGTTGACCACCTTCCCGACATCGAGTTCGCCTACAACACTTCGGTGCACCCGGTGATTGGCGTGACTCCATTCGAGTTGGATCACAGTGGACGGAAAGGATGTATCTTCGCAGACATTTTGCTTCCACGGGCTGCCGATATCGGCGCCACTTGCTCCCCCGCTTCTACACGGAAGTACAGGGAACTGCTGGCCAAAGCCCTTGCAAACATGCAAAGGGCTCAGGTCCGTATGCAGCAGCAAGCGAACCGGCGTCGCATCCCATGTCCAATCCGCGCTGGCGACCTGGTTTGGGTCACCTCTGAGGAATTCGCGCTCGAGCAGCACGTCTCCCGCAAGCTCCTCCCTAAGTGGTTTGGACCATGGAAGGTCACTTCAGCAGCTGGCGATGACGCCGCGGGTCCATCTTTCATCATTGAGATTCCTCCGCATTTGACGGTCCACCCGATATTTCACGCTTCAAAGCTGGCGGTCTACACTCCAGCCTCCGCAGCGGACTTTCCGGGCAGACGGTCACAGGACCCTCCTTCAATGGATGGCCATCAGGAGGTCGACCACGTCCTCGCTCATGGCAAGCACGGCAACAAGCCAATGCAGTACAAAGTTACATTCAAGCAATGCGATCCCGACGACACACGCTGGATTTCACGAGCTGATCTGAAGGCGACAGCACCCCTCATCTTCGCGCATTACGAAAAACAGCGACTTGCTAAGGAAGCTGCCAAATCTGCCCGCCCCATACGGACATCGGACAGACAGCTTCGCCCTCGCAGTTAGCTCGGTCTTCAAGGGGGGGAGTGTGTGGCATTCTGAGCCACACGGGCCCCAGTTAGGGCCCAGTTCCAGGTAGGCATGGTAGGCCTAAGGGACGGTTCCGATAAGGCCTAGAAAGGCCTGGACCACGGCGGTCCAGACAGGCCAGGGGTAAAAACCCAGGCCAACGGCCACAAGGCCGGTACCAGTCCAACATAGGACCTACCGGCGGCACTGCAGAGGCTGCCGAGTTTTAGGCGCCAAATCCAGTTTCGAAACTGGACCGCTGATTCAGATCAATGGTCCAGGCCGGTAGGTACCAGCAGGTAGGAGGCCGGCTGTGGCATACTGTGTAGCCACACGGGCCTGCAGGGCCCGTCCCGCATTCTCAGCCTAAAAGCCTAGAAATGAAGGCTTACAGGCCCCATGTCGTTTCAGCCTGAAAACTGAAAACGAAGGCCTGCAGGCCCTATTTTGTTTTCAGCCTAAAACAGGGCTTTTCAGCCCTGAGTCTTTTCATCCCTGAGTCTTTTCAGCCTGAAACGGAG